AAACCCTAAAACCCTAAAACCTAAAACCCTAAAACCTAAAACCCTAAAACCCTAAAACCCTAAAACCCTAGAACCCACGCATGTGAACACAGCACAACTGGATCATCAGAGTGCAGCAGCGACCAGAAGTCAAAGGTTTCTTGAATAAATCATCTGGTTTAGCTCGATTTTAACCGAATGTGGGTCTTCCTCTGTGTCCCAGGACTTACATGGAGGACAGCAAGGCCAAGATCCAGCCTCTGGTTGAGAAGGTCCAGGCCGAGGCCACCAAGCTGCAGGAGCAGGTCAAGCCCTTCATCGCCAACATCGAGGACCAGATCAAGCCCCTGACGGACAACTTCAACGCTCAGGTCAAGCCTCTGACCGCCATGATGGAGAAGTTCTTCCAGAAGGTGATGGACCAGACCAAGGCCCTGCTGCCCCCCCAGTAAAGCTTCACGCTGGTTCAGTCCGGCTGCATCCAAACCCAGAGCTGACTTTGTTTTTACATGAAATGCCGTCTGTCTGTGAACGCCATCATTAAAGGAGCGTGAAAGTCGTCCCTGAGCTGTTTTATTCAGTCTTTTATGACCAGCGTTTGATTTGAGTGCATCATGGATTAACTTCTGAGAAGCCAAAGGTCAGGAAGTAACGCTGAGATGAAAAGAGCTGCAGCAGAACCTGATGGGATCTGCTCACTGCAGCAGAATCGATGTGAACATTACCTCCGACCTTTGGCTCATCGGGTTTTCCATCATTCATGATTCAATATTCTGAAGTAAGCTGTCAAATGGGCCGGAGTCCAGGACGGACGCATCGACCGCCGGCCGATGATTAACTAATAAACAATCAGAACCAAATGAAAACCACAGCGACCCGATGCTGTGGAACAAGCACGTCTCCACTGGTTTGAACTGGGACAGAAAATAAAACCACTTCAACAAATTATCAAAAAAAAAAGGCAGCAGAAGAATTTGTGTTTTTGATTGAGCAGCTTCTGGAGTTAATCAGGGATTCAGAACCACCTCCGATATGTGAACCTCTACATGACTGACGCACCGTCAGGCTGCTGCTGAACTCTGAGGTTTGTCTGTGAAATGCTGCCGATGAACGGACAGAATCAGTGACATGAAGTCCACAGCGAGACAGAACAACCCGTCACTTACCGGAGAGCTGTGGGTCTGGAGCTGGTTCCTGTACAAAATCCACATTCATTTAAAAACAACAATAAAAAAGATGCTTTTTAAAACAACTGGTTCCCTCTAAAAACCAGCAACATGCATCGGTACACGACACGCAATTAGGAAACGATGAGTGTCCCACGCGTCTCACTGTGGATTTGCTCTTCAGCATGTTTTAGTTGCTCTGGGAACTTCTGACGTAGAGTTCTGATCTAAAATGGAAATTAATCTCAATTTAGTCAAATAGGTCCACAGTTGGGAGGCAACAGAAGTCATCAGGTGTAAACGTCAGCGACCCAGATGGGAGCTGAGTGTCGGCTCGTGTCCCAGAGCAGAGAGGGAGACAGCGACCTGTTGTCGGTTTGAGCACAAAACAACAAAATCACTAGTCTTCCACGCTGCCGTGGACTCCGTCCACACACTGCAGGCTGTGGGGGTTTGTTCATTTTTTTGTGAAGCTTTTTTTATGTCTTAAAATCCTGTAAAGCAAAAATAATGATACAGTTAAATACGTGTAAATAAATGGAATGCACGGTGGTGTTAATCCATCACTGCCTGCTCCTGTCGCCGCCGCTGCCAAGCTTCCAGTCGTACTCAAGGTGGCCTCCTTGAGCTGACGTGTGATCTGGATCTTCCTGTGAAGACGGGGGAGGCTGAAGGAGCTTCCAAGGAACCCTCCCCTCAAAGCAAACTTCCCTCAGACCTCCCGGCTGAAGGCCGGAGGCTGCAGAGCGGGACTGGCCGTGCTGCAGCCAGCGGCCTTCTCCTTGTGCTCGTACAGATTAAACCAATCATTTGGCAGCCTTTCAAGAAGCCGTCTGCAAAAAAAAAGAAAAACGCTCAAAAGAAACACTCTTAAAGAACGGGAACGGTTTGACTGGGAGGGTCATTATTTAAATTACTGCAGTTATCTCTGCGTGACGGCTTCATTATCTTCCATCTGCCATTTTTCATATTTGACAACAGGACTCACGAAGGCGTCACCTCGCGCCGTGTTTACCTGAATTGCCAACACGCTGTATAGATGAAACAGCTGCAAACTGACTTCAGATACGGAGGCGGCGGCTTTGTGTGAACCTGCAGAAGGGCTTCAGTGTTCTGGAGGAAGGACGAGGCCGAGGGCTGGACGGAGGCAGGAGGCTTGAAGCTGGGCCAGGGGTCAGCACCACAGCTATCAGCCGGGACGGACTGTGTGTGATCCAAGGCTCAGAACCACCGCAGACACCCGGCAGGCTGGAACAGAGAGAAAACAGCCGCTGACAGGCCGTCATCCAGCCGCCGTGGTGTGTTTTATGTCCTGACGTCAGCGTTAATCAGCTCAGTGTCACTTTGATTCAGCTGTCAGTCTGCAGCGTGACTGCAATAAATGAGACAAGTGGCACAGAGAGCAGGGAGCTCGTTAATATCACCGAAACAAAATCACCGTATTTATTCAGTTTTCAACAGCTTGTCCTTGTGTCCTTGTACTGATTTAACGCATTTACACAATAAAATAAGACAAAACAAGTTAAAGGACGACTATGGTCAGTGTTAGAAAGAAAAGTAAAATGCTGCTGATCAAGAGTCCAAAACGTCAAACATCTGATGGTTGAACGCTCACATGAGGCTGTTCTCTTCTAATAAAATGAACATTTTGCATTAATGCTCACACAGAACAAGAGCTTTTATCCTGCTGGTGGCATTTTTCACTATTTTCTTCATTTTTTTTGCAAACCAAGCAATCAACGGATTAATCAGGAGAACAATCTGCAGCTTTGATCCATAATGAAGCCGACAGAAGCAGCAGAGCTAAAACAGTTTAATAGCAGCTCTACGTTTCAAGCAGCACCCGCTGATTACTTATCTCAGGAACTAAAGGAGGCTGCAGAAAGCCCTTTAATGTCCACGTGCAGGCAAAAGATTCAACATTCAGCTCCAACAGAACAGCTGGAAATGGAAATGATGCATCACTTTAATATTTCTGCTACACGCGTGTGCTGCATGTCCCACACAGTCTGCGGCTTCCAGGTGAAGCTTTATGTCATCAATACTGATCAATACTGATCAATACTGATCAATACTGATCGATAATAAAAGCGTTCTGGACGTCTGAAGGCAGACCTGCAGTCAGTTTTCCTCACTGGCTCTTTGCCGTGTTGTTACTGTGATGGACACAGAGCGGCTGGACGGTGACGCCGGCTCGTTAGATGCTGGAGTTAAACGAGAAACGTTCTTTATTTCAGGTGTTGGACCAAACGTCTCCTGTACATGTCAAACATCACACGCTTCAGTCAGGAGCTCAGCGACAACATGCAGCTGCGTCCTGCATATAATCAACTTATTTTTCATTTCTAGCTGATAAAAACATCTTTTTGTGAACCCACCTGAAGAAAAAGTGACTAATTATCATCTGTGTGAAACTGAATTTAAATCTTGAACACAGAGAACGATGTGAGTATTTACTGAAACTTGATCGCACGTCGGCCAACAGTGCTGCCATCTCACCAGACCCTGTGTGTGTGTGTGTGTGTGTGTGTGTGTGTGTGTGTGTGTGTGTGTGAGAGACACAATGAAACCTGATCTGTGTGTGTGTGCTGCTGCTTGTGTGTGTACATGTAGTGTGACGTGTGTGTGAGCCAGTCTGAGGCGTGTGCATGCTGTTGGACAGAGCGACTGTATTTCTCATGTGTTTGTATTTTAAATGCTCTAAACGGGAATAAATAAGGATCAGCAGATTTGCCAGGATGTCACATCTCGGATGTTAAATGCAGGGATGCGGAGGCAGAACGCACCAGTTGCACAATTGAAAATCAATAAGAGAAAGTGGGTGACATTGACAGAAAATGGCAAGACAATCAGGAATTACAGGGAAATAGTTTCTCTGGATTAGCAGAGCTGAATGTCGCAACAGACAGGAGGAAAAAAACCCAAAAGGCGATATTCTCCGTCAAAACAATACAGAGATATACGGCGTAATGAGACACGCTGAGATTTCTGTAATGGCAAAATTGTTGGCACTTACCATTTCTGAATTAGACACCTGGGGTCATCCGCAAGGGCGTCGATGGCAGGCGCACAAAGAAGAGCAATTTTCAAGGAAAAAAAGAAAGCTGACTTGAATTTCTAAAAGAGAAAAAATGAACGTAGGCTCACGGAAAAGATGCTAAAATAATTTGAGAAGTCGGCGGGTGGAGGGGGCCGATCTCTAACACCTGGTGCTGAAGACAACAGAGCCGCTGATGGCCTCTGAGGAGAAACGCAGTCTGTCTCCATTGCCCAGTGGAGAACACTGATAGATATGTTTTTGCTGGCATGGGTTATGTTTTTACTCAGGACTGACAGACAGACAGCCCCCATGCACACAGGTGCTATTCAAGGAAACTGTGTAAAAGTGACGTCACTGAGAAAAATCGAGCCCATAAACCTTTTCAGCGCTCAAGTCCCGCCCTCCACATGTTGCTCTGTTCATATTTTTTCCCATTTTCTCCATTTTTCTCTCTCTCTCTCTCTCTCTCGCTCTCTTCAGTCTTTGTCTGCTTGTCTTTGTGGATTTATATCTTTCTCAGTTTCTCAGCCTATAAAGTGCATTTCAACAAACTGCGAGGCCATAAACACACGTCGGCTGTAAACTAATCTCACGTCTCTTTATCTCTGTTTCTGTTCCTGTCTTTATCTGATTCCATCTCCCATCCCTCACGCGCGCCGTATAGGCTGAATACTATATAAATCGTTGAGTGTTTGTTTTCATTCGTCGCCAGCTCAACGTACAATATGCTTTGAATGTCTTCTCTGCTGTTTGTGTGGCTTTTTTCTTTCTTCTTTTTTTCTTTTTTTGCAAATGCACGCAGCTCCTGATGTGAAACCACCAAATGAAGCTTACCCCAATTTTCATAGCCCTCCAATTTGGAGCACGGCTGTCTCTCTCTCTCGCTGCTCTCTAATGCTGAAACACCACTTTGTGAAATTACAGCACAATTTTGAAAAGTAGAAACAGGCAGCAGGCAATTCAGGTGCTCAGCCTCCGCAACAATGGACCGCTGGCCTTGGTGATGGTTGCTAGGCAATGGAGGAAATACAATGGCCTCCTCTGAAACCAAAGGCCCTTAAGTGGACTGACAGGAGTGAAAGCACACACACACACACACACACACACACAACAGAGCGATGCAAGGAAAAGCAGAGTGCAAGTGAAGCTGTGCACCTTTATGTGGAGACGCTCGACCGAAATATTGCAGTTGCATGTTCTGAACATGAGGACTGAACTTGAATAGGCTTGAATTATGATGATTTTT